AGATCATTATGCTCAGGGTTTTGGATGGATTTCGTTAGTATCAGTGATTGTATAAGAATAACAGAACTGTGCCCCTATTTTTTTTTTTTGATTTATTTATTTTATATTATTTTATATATTTTTTTATTTTATTTTGTTCTCTATTATAGTTATTTTTATTAACTATAATAGTTATAATTTAAATAAACTGACTTTTATTATTTTGTCCCCACAAACTAGTATTATTAGTCATAATAATACATTCATCGTAATAACAGCACCAGAATATGTGTGTGTGTGTATAACTAGTAATATTACTTAAAATAATCAGCAATAATAATATATTAATTGTAATCATAATTTAGGCTATAGATAGAGAGATAAAAATATACAAAATATAAATTGAAATTTAACTAATAAAAATTATATTTAATATATATAATAAAAAATATATATTAATAACACATTTATAGAGAGAGAAAGAGAATAAAAGGTATAAAAAGAAAAAAAAATTAATATTAGGGTAAATACCAGAGTAATTAATGCCATGTTTGTTTAATTAACAGTATTAAAACTAAACTGTTCATATTGTATTAAACCACTTGAGGGCTTTATAAATCATGGAAGTGGAAGAGGTGGCTGTTTAAGAGGAAGATTAATGACAGTCATTTGTGATGGGTCTGGTAATTAGCCCACACACGCTATCATCTCCAACCATCATGACAGGCCTGAAGAACCCAGAACCAAAACCCAGATCGTCAAACTCTCCACACCCTCCACACACGCTCACATTCTCAGGCAGTTATCTGAACTGAGATGCCCCTGTGGGTTAGCATCACCTCAGAGGATTTTTACTAAGGTCAGGATCAGCTTTAATTTGTGCCCTCCCCGAGTTCCACAGGAAATACCAGGCTCCCAGTCCTTGTCTGAGTAATCGCACTGTAAAGATGAAATAGCCCCAGTGTATCTCTTCTTTAAGAGGTTCTATATATCAGCATGGCTAAGCTTCAGTGGCGTCCTTACAGCTCCAGATCACAGCGGTAGCCAGACAATCTGGAAACTTTTCTGTTCACACAGCAGCACAAATCACGCCAGCACCTTTGCAATATTACAGGGCTATATATCAGATTGGCATTTCCCAAAAATCTTTTCTTTTTTTTTTTGTGCATTCAAAAGCTTATAAGATTGGAGCAGAATCTACCCACACGCAAACTTTGTTTATATATACAGTATGCATGCATGTTTATACTTTTAAGTTTATTCAATATTCAGATTTATTTATTTTTAATTTCCCAATTAAATATAAATGAAATTACAGTTGAAGTACAATTAAATGTAAGTGAAATTATATAAATGTAAATTAAATGTAAAATAATATAATGAAATTTAATAATATAATGAAATAATAAATATAAATGAAATATATATCCTAAATACATATAAATGAAATTACAGTTAAATTACAATTAAATATAATTACATTTTATATATGTATTTGTTTATTCAATAATTAAATGTATTTATTTATATAAAGTTTTATACATTTTATGTATATACAATGTATAAAATGTATAAAAGTACATGTAAATTTATTTATACATTTTTTATTCAATATTCAAATATATTTATTTTATGTTTCTTAATTTATTCAAGAGAGAGAGAGAGAGAGCAAATAAAAAATAGAATTAAATAATAAAAAAATAAATGAGTAAGATTAAAGTAATCAACTATTTAAGTATTTAAATAAATGTTCTATAAATTAATTATATGCAATAAATTACTTAATTACAACTAATTTATGTTTTCTTAACTTATTCTATAGAGGGATAATAAGCTAAATAAAAATTAATTTTATTAATTAATAACATTTGAATTAAATAAATAATTTCCAAATTAACTTTATATAGAGAGAAAAAAATAATTTAAAATGTAAAAAATAGTAATTTATTAATAATGAATAAATTACATCACAGTTACATATTGTACAACATAGACAGACAGACAGACAGACAGACAGACAGACAGACAGACAGACAGAAAGACAGACAGACAGACAGACAGACAGACAGACAGACAGACAGACAGACAGACAGACAGACAGACAGACAGACAGACAGACAGACAGACCGACGGACAGATAGATAGATACATAGATAAACAGAATGATATATAGAACGACAGTTAGAACGATAGAACGATAGATAGATTAGTTAGATTGGCACTTGTGTCCACTTAATAAGTTAGCATCTATAGCCTTTTATGTGTCTTGCCCAGTGAAGACTGTCATCTGAGAGAAATTATAGTGCATTTAGAAAAGAGACGAGCCATTTTATAGCTCTCTTCTTATGATTGGTTCTCCTGTGACAGTTCTTACATCTGAAATCCATATTCCTAGTAGCAAGGAAACAGGCGCAGGGCAGAAAGAGAGAGACAGAGAGATAAGGAACGATGAAGAGAGAGAAATGGAAGGAGAAAAAGACAAAGCCACATCTGGTGTCTATTGCATTGCCGCATATGTGCTCAGTCATGGATACTTCATATAGGTCTCCATGGTTACCACAACTCTCTGGCCAATCAGAGAAGAGGCCTGACTGTGCCACAGGGAGGGGTGTCAAGGGTACGGTGTCATCTTCTAGAAGAATTTGCATGCCTTTAATTACACCCACGCCACAACTTCACCACACAATTTTTACTTTCAGGAAGCTTTAACCGAGAAAGTAGTACCTCCAAACCTTTTCTAACCCTCCTCTGCTGTAATACAGTCATTAGGCTCTGTGACAGACAACCACACCAACATCTGCCTGTTCATCTTGTTGAGAACTATATTACTGTACATGTTATTATGGAAACCTGAGTCGTTTTTATCATCTGAGCACGCAGTGGGATACGATGTTTGTCATTGCACACAACACGCTTGTTTCTTCCTTTTTATAAATGAGTGAGTCATGTCGTCAATCATGTTATTAAATAATTAATTTATGATGTCCTAGTAAGGGTCTGCTCACATTCCTTCACCAGGAGACCAACACTATAACCAGTAGTCACTCTTTTTTACTCTTTACTCTTTCAGGAAGGACATACAATGATCTGAACCAGTATCCTGTTTTCCCATGGGTCCTCACAAACTATGAGTCAGAAGAGCTGGACCTCACAGTTCCCGGCAACTTCAGGGATCTTTCAAAGGTAAAACATCTATCTATCTATCTATCTATCTATCTATCTATCTATCTCTCTATGAACACAGAATTACATTTTAGTGGGTGTCTTCTGTAAATCATGGTAAAAATGTATGAAAGTCATAAATTTTTTGCTCGTAAAAAATCAAATTAATCAGGACATTTTAATGTGCAGGGGAAAAAATAAATCGGTATTGAACCTTTGTATTTCCTCTCAGTATCTTGAATCAGATTTTAGATACATACAGTATACTGTACACTCAAAGTGTTCATGGTTTTAGGTTTGCATGCTTTAGAAGTAAATCACTTGCATTTCTATCTCCACTTCTCCTCTCCAGCTCCTCTATACCTTCATCAGGTTGTCACGTTCTCTCTTTCTCATTCACTCATTTGCTTACGTTTACATCTCACAAGCTCACTGACCTGAAAACAACCACATTCCTGTCTGAGCGTATCTTTCTCTATATAACTCTATCTCTCTTCCACACCCACTCTTATCCTCATTTCCAAATTATTTCTAAAACTGCAGACTAGAAGACTGTTCCGCTGTTGTTTTGCTGTTTTCTCCACAACCATTTGTGGAGACTAAGTGGCTATTTCTTGGTCGGAATAAGTTTGTGGAAAAGATCTAGTGCCCGTTGACTATGTTTAACCTTAGCTATAATACTTACCCTTTCTGCATTCAGCATCAGTAATATCGGCTTAAATGCCCTCTTCCTACAGCGCTGTAGTCCCTGAACATGTCAGCGTGGCACCAGGTGGGCAGAGGAAGCCCCCTGGCCTGAGGAAGACAGTGATGTATTGTAATGTATGCTTGTGACATCCACCCTGTGCTGTTTACCAGCTTGAGCTGCCTTCATTAGCAGGAGTTCACAGGCCTGCGGCCGTCCTGACGCATGTCCTTGGCCAACCTGGGGCTCTAACCTCTGAAGGTTCAGTGCTGCTGAAACAAAACCTTTGTTTTAACCTCCCTCCTGAGTCCCTTGCTGTGAAGACCCCTGCCTTTGTTCAATAATGTATGGAGGGGTGTGCAGCCTCGGGGGTGAATGTGCGTAGGAGGGGAGTGTGTGTTATTGTAGATAATGAGGTAGGCGGCTTTTTTGGCTTTGTGGTGAATATGCTTTGTTCGGTTCCTCTTCGTTTTTCCCCCAATATTATAAAAATTTGTGTTCATCCACAGATCTATCTATCTATCTATCGTTCTATCGTTCTATCGTTCTATCTATCTATCTATCTATCTATCTATCTGTCTATCGTTCTATCGTTCTATCGTTCCATCGTTCTATCGTTCTATACTTCAATATCTATCTATACGTCAAGCTTCAAACAAGGCTTTATCAATCCAATTTTTTTAGCTATACTGTAATTAGCTATAAATTTAGCTATACCGTATAAATTTTATAAAGTTTCAATTAATTTAAATTCTACTTCCTTACATTCAAATTCTGTGTCCTGTTTGCTGCATCATTTTTAATTCGAGAATTAAATTGAAATTAAAAATACATTTATAATTCAACTCTCAAAATGTGCACATCTCAGTTTATATATACACACACAAACTTGGGTTTATTGAGGGCATCAACAAATAGTCAGCCTTTACTACGTGTATATGTCCTCAATGAACCCAAAAAGCAAATATTGCCATCTTGCAGTGCAAACGTGTCTTGGAAAACAAGTTGGGCTGCTGGTTCCTCTGAACACACCCTCAAATTCTCACCTGCCATTCTCACACAACTCCCAGAGCCCCAGACACGCAAACCATGCACTGCCGTTCCGTGAGCTGTGATCACGTGGCCTGTCCGGCAGGAAACAGCTGCCAGTCATGCTGGTGAGAATGCCCTGCGGCGCTGTCCTGATGGGCAGCATTGTGGAGAACTGCCGAAATATCCCGCTTGATATGTACCATAATTCCCCTCTCAACCCCACCTACAATACACACCTGAAGTTACTCCACCAATAGTGTGTGCATTCAACTGTACAGCGAATAACGAAAAACAGGTCTCTGGGCACCCCGGGGCTAAGACTAGCACATTTTTGCATGGCAGCTACATTGACATGGCGGACAGATTTATTAGAATCTAATGATTATTTCCTTTTTGACAGACAGGTGGCTGATAGAAAAGGGAAGCCGTCTTGCTCGCAGATATTAATTGGCGCGTGCTAATGCGAAGCCATCATACGCTAGACCCGCACTGAGCACACCCGCACCAACTCTCTGCTGCGATACCGCGTTATTCCACTTCTTTTGTGCAGCTTTGACAGGAAATTAGATGAAGTGTCTCTAACGGATCTTTTCAAATGGGCTAGCGAGGTAGAGCGGAGAACTGACAGCAAACATAATTACCTGAGTTGTGCAAATCTCTTGTTATGAATGTCTGATTGTTCAAGCGAACGTAATTCTAGTTGACTGGACTTGCATTCATACAATTATCTCGCCAAATATGAATCCCCATGTATCAGTCAAATATTTCTCATGAGTTGTTTATCATTTTTACACGTTAGAACTTATAATATGTAAATATAGAAGTTAGGGCTGTGCAATTAATCGAAATACGATTCCGATTTCGGCCTCCAACGATTATGAAAATACAATTATAGAGATAAAACGATTATTGCGCCCCATTCCGCCCCCTTTCTAGTGGTGCACTTTCACTCCTCCATAAAAGCCTAATTTCACGTGCAAATCAGTAAAATCATGTAACATGACTTTTGCAAAATGGGACGTGCTTGATTTATTCATGTTGATTAGAATTATTCATGTTTTTAAAAGCGTGAACTTGCGCTGTTCCTACTGTGTATGCGCTCAGAGATGGAAAAAAACACGGGCATGTAGTAAACTTTTAGCTCAAGGTGCGCGCCTAAACGGTGAAATACTCGGAAAAATTTCCGTGATTATTCACGTAAGAATGAAAATACGTATGTAACAGTAAATTGGATCCGTGCAGCTCTTAAAGTGACAGGGGGCTATATTCCTGCTTTCGACTGGCTGCTTAATATCAATCAAACAACAAAAGACAAAGACAAAATCACTTACTGCTCTAGACCGAAGGACTTTTTGTAGCTTTATTAAGTAACAAATTAAGTTTAATTCTTACAGTGAAGATTATTCTGTTTTTAACAAAAATTTGATTATTCATATTTATCGCTATCTTTAAATAAATCATTAATTTAAAGTTTTGGTCATATGGCCCACTTATAATCGTGTTAAATAATCGTGATTACAATATTGACCAAAATAATCGTGATTATGATTTTTGTCATAATCGAGCAGCCCTAATAGAAGTTCAGTTATACATTGGGTTGCCAGTTCTCTCTAAATTGATTTATTTAGACATTTTCTTTAAAAAAAGTATTTTAAAAATCCCACACACACACACACACACACACACACACACACATATATATACACATAACATAATACACAATATTTATAATTTTCACATAACTTTTACATAAATATAGTATTAATTTTTTTGCATAAATATAGAAATTCAGTTTTATGTTGCTTGTTCTCTCTCTGTCTCTAAATGTATTTATTTATTTATTTATAAATTTATAAATTAATTTAATTTATTTTCTTAAAAAAAGTCATTTTTAGTCATTATTACATTAGATATTAACTTTTACATAAATATAGTTTTAATTTTTACAATATACAATTTCAGTTAGTTGAATTGCCGGTTATCTCTCTAAATTTATGTATGCATGTATGTATGTATTTAATTTTTTTAAAATTTATAAATATTTTTCTGATTACATTTTTAGTCCTTTATGTTGAAACTTAAAATCTAAATGCATTGGAGAAGACTTTTTCTTACACCCAGCCTTCCAGCAGTTTACCAGCTCACCGCAGAGAAGAGCATTATGGGTAACGCCGAGCGGGCTTGCTAAAGACCGTGCTGCATTTGCTCTCAGAGATGCCATATCTGTTTTTTCTCCTTTCTGCAACCATCCTCATCTGCTTCCTCAGTGCTCGGCAAGTGTTTTTTGGAGCCGCATCTGCTTTGTTTTGACTTGTGGGAGCTTGATTGCATTAGACCGAAGCTGCACATTGTGCATTCGCAGGATGACGAGGCCAGTGAAAACAAGTGCTACTCCTCCTGACAGCACACTGCCGGCACACACATCCTTAATGCAATTTTCTCTGATATATGAAATACAGAATGAGCGTCTCCAGGGGAGGTAGTGCAGATTGCACCAAATGACGGCACTCTGGCGCGATGCTATGGATAAATGACTGGCTTATCTTTTGAACATGAGAGAGTAGCCCACTGAATGATAATTGTTCTTGAGGCTGTAGTTTGTGTGCAGCAAAATGAGGTAACCCGAGTAGAGGAGGACTTGTTTTAAATGTTGTTTTGTGGTTAGCTGTTGTTACGTTTCATGAGCTCCACAAAGCAGACCTGTCAGAAGCAGTTTTTTTGCTATTTCATACCAGAAGTCTTTTTGACAAAGTTCATTTTAGCTGCTGCCTATACTGCTGGAGCTACATGATTAGAGCGTGGGTAAACTATAATGACAGCGTATTTATAAATTGTCTCATGGTACTTGTTTTAATTTCCGAAAGCACAAGCAACGGTTGCATTCGTAAAGACAATATGACATACACATCCAGTGCGATTATCTTAAACTTACAGCGTAATGTTAGACTCAAAGCCTGCATTTATATTGTTCCAGCTCATTAGTAGAATAAATCTTTGCATCTTCTTTTAAAAAGTATTTAAAATGTGACAGCTGTTATATATATATAGCTTAACCCAAAGTCAAATGCTTTTCTTTTATAGAGAGTGAACAAATGGATCCTTAAAGCTTTTTTTGTGGCATCTTAAATCGTATTGTCTCCTATATGGCAAATAGCTTTTTAATTAGCAGCTAATTATCTTATTGAACACATATTGTCCCTGTACAGGTGTCTCTGAGGGTTTCATTTAATTAGGTCACAAGGGATGTGTTCATATTCTTCATTAAGTAATATGTGATCATGTGATAAATGCATTGGCGACCTTT